ATTGAACCTTATGGGGAAATTTCCTTCGGGTTGCGACCAATTTGGGGTGTGACCAGAGTCATGGAACGAATTAAATTCATAACCCGAGGTTCCACTGTATATTAATTGTTTAAAATCTTTCCTAATCCTTTGGAGGTAGCCCACTTTAGCCAAACACATTTTGGAGAGTATATACATGTGTGCTTTCAACCAAACAAGTAGGGTATAAGGCCCAGCTTGATTATTCCATCTTGCTTAATTGGTACATCAATAAGCACTTTTTCAGTGGGTACTTCAACAAACTTTGCATTTGACAGATATTGGGTCCTTTGGGTAATGCTCATTTGTATTTCTTTCATCTTTGCAAATGAGTCATAGCACACATCACTCTCCCTAATCAGTTCCTTTTTGCCTAGCTAGCCGTTTATCTTTGGGTTAATATTTGAGGCATATTCAAAAACTGAAAGAGCCAAATAGTTGCCTCAAGGCAATGGTTACTTGCCACATAAATGGTTATTTACATGCCTGTTTTGTTCAGCTCTGTATCATTATAAAGTTTTGCTAAAATCATAAATCATTTATATGGTAATGGGCAAATGTTTTAAGCCTCTGTCCACTTCCATAATGAACATTAATTCTTGTTTTCTTTAGATGTTTGACTGGATCACACACAATAAAGGCCTGTTTTTGAACAGCTACACAGAAATTGGAGCCAGTCATCCTCATGCTATGGAACTCCAGACACAGCACAACCATTTTGCTATGAACTGTATGGTAAGAATTTAACAATGGCACTTTGTCTTTTTGGAACACCTTGCTCTTTTTAATACAGAAGCATATGCAGCTATGAACTGGTTTCTGATCCCCTCTGAAAGCAGAGTAATGGAAAGCCTAGGGGAAGATCCAGTGTAAATAAATAGGAGAGAAGAGAGACTGAGAAGACCATAGCTTGCTTGATTAAGTAACACACAATTGTAAAGGGGGACTTAGAACAGAACAATTTGTGTGTGTGTATATATATTGTGTGTGTGTGTGTGTAATATATATAGGTAGTCCTTCCTTAATGACCGTTAGCTTAACGATGGTCTGAGGTTATGACAGCCTTGGGACAAGTGCTTTACGATCCCTACGGTCATGTGATCACAATTTGCAACCTTTTTACAATGGTTGTGAAATAAATCACCATGGTCATTAAGCAAATCACGTGGTCGTTAAGCAAATTCCAGCAAAAAACATCCATCAGGAAAGCTGGATTCGCTTAACGACTCCATGATTTGCTTAACCATGGTGATTAGCTTAACAACTGCAGTGATTAGCTTAACGACCATCATAAAAAAGGTTGTAAAATCAGCTCTGATTTACTTAATGACCAAATTGCTTAGCGACCTAAATTCCAATCCCTATTATGGTCAGATAGCGAGGACACACATACATGCACATACACATACAAAACTTCTAGACACTGCTGTTCAAAAAGTTAAAGCAATGTTTAAAAATGCTATACAGTGTGTGTGCGTGTGTGTGTGTTGTCTGTGTCTGTCACACACATTCATAGAGTAAGATGCTGTACAGATTGGAAGGGAATAGGTAACTCTATAGAATTCTCAAAGGAAGCATAAAATACATTTGAAGCAAAATGACTGAATGGACATAGCAATCAAGCTATAATTGACAGTTCTTAAAAGGGGTTTTGAAATGGAAATGCATTAATAAAACTAATGCTAGGATTTATTCAACTTTTAAGTTATGGCTTGTTTCTCCAGGGCATAACTTTCACTTAGTTCTACAGTTTGGATGTGACCTGTTTTGACAGCAGTTTTGAACTTCTTAGGGCTACTTTATAAAAGGCCTGTTTGGGTTTTCCTCTGTTAAAATTCTAAACATTGAATTAAGTAACAATTTTGAGAATCCAAGCAAAGTACAATAATTGAATTGAAAAGGAAACAAATAGCCTTCATCTAGAATGATCTTTAGTAGGCAAATTGCTATGTCAGAATTGGGGATTCACATTGTGCTTCTTGATTGTGTATCATTTATTGAGCCCTAGCAAGCCATAGTTACCAGAAGCCAAGTGGGACAATATGCCTTCATTTGCCAGGAGTGACTGTAGCTAATGTGTCAAAAGCAGTGCATTCTCCCACCAGGTAATGCCCAACCATTCCCTTGGGGCTGTTGAAAGTTTTAAGGCAGAACAATGAGAAAGCATCAAATTGGGAAACAAAAAGATACAAACTGTAGCCTATCCTATATCATAGATGCACAATCTTCAGCTTCAGGGCTGGGTATGATGCCCCAAAGCTTTGGGCATATCCCTGGCCCATGAGCCTGTCCAGATATTGGTGCTAGATGTTAAATTTTAATATGGCAGAAATGGTTAAACATGAATTGTAAACCCATTTAAATGAAGAACATTGCTTACTGATGTATGCCTGCATCATCATATGAATATATATATATATATATATGTGTATGCATTCTTTTCCCCTTCCCTTTCTTGTAGAAATGTATAAATATCAGGGTATCCATTTTGCCTGGAGGGGAGTATCTCCCACTAACCCTTGGTGGAGTCCCCTCCAGTGCGCACTGTCTAATAAACACTGCAGTGAAGCCTTCATTATTTTGCATTTGAGTCCTGCATTCCGATTCCACAAAGAGCATCTTATTGGTTTGTTTTTTTTTTAAAGCAGGAAAGTTGTAGCCTTTAGCATAATTTTATGCTCTTCTTAATGCCTTATTCATATGAAGTCATAAGAATGTTTGACTTTAGATTTATCACTACTAATCAGGCAGTTTGCAACGTGGCATTCACGAAAGAGAGATTTCCAAAAAGAAAGCAGAAACCTATCCAATTGAAGATATTTACTGTATATACTCACATGATCCTAACAGGTATATCGGCCACATTTGTGCCAGCGGACAGCACAACTTGTAGCATTCCTTTTCTGGAACTAAATTTGTTTCTATTAATTTAGGTATAACTCTGCCTTATTTATGGAGTGCAGGGTCCTATTTATTATTAATTAATTAATTAATTAATTAATTAAACCAATTTATATGGCCACCCATCTCACCACAGGCGACTTTGGGCAGCGAACGACAAAGCTAAAAACAATCAATAAATACATTTAAAATATAAAAAGCAAAATAAAACTGAGAATAAAATGATGTTAAAAATAAGGGAGCCACCTCACTAATTCCCCCGTCCCTGGGGTCCCCAGGTCTGCTGGCATAACCAAGTCTTAAGGGACCTTCAGAAGCTCAGCCATGACAAGGCCAAGCTCACCTCAGGGGGGAGAAGATTGCACAGCGCAGGTACCACAGTAGAAAAGGCCCACTGCCTGGGGCTTGTCAAATGTAGCTCCCTAGGCGACGGAACCCGTAACATGCCCTCTCTACTGGATCTGCTATTACTGAAGCAGGCGCCTTCAGGCTGAACAAACAAACAAGAAGAAAAATCCCTTTCAAAGCTTTAGTTCTTTCAGGAGATCCATTGCCTGCTTTGAAGAAAGCAAAGCCTTATACTTACAGTAAGTCTTTAAAAATGGTTTTCCAGTTATCGCATTCCTATAGATTTCTTTTAATATTCTTTCGAAAGATATAGGAAAGATGCATACTGAATCAGATTGTAGAATACTTCAGGTTGGATGAACTTGATTTTGTGGCACTATGAAAGTGAAACCTGTCATCCAGCTGGAAAGCGAATGAGGTCAGGTCAAGAATAGTTGAAGAGCTGGAGAACCCATGCCTGAAATTCATTTCTTCCCTTGAAGACTTTTTCCCCCAAAACCTGAAGTTCTGTTTCTTTTCTAAAATTCCCCTGTAATCTGACTGAGCAGTTTTTATGCCTTTGGTGCAACCTCAAAAGAACCTTTTAAACAAAAAGTCCACTAACAACATCAGCTGTATAAATCGGTCCAAAGTGCAATATGTCCAGGGTTTACCTCCATCCTAATGTGCCCCCCTCTAGCTGTTCAAGGTGGGATGCTCCGTTTTCTGTTGCTCCTTAAAACAGGTGGCAGGGAGTTTGGTGGAAATGGCATGGGCACAAAAAATTGGCATTTCACTTTACTTTTCCAGAATCCAGTAGAGAGTCTTAAAACTTTGGGACAGTCAATGATGTTTCCTCATGATTGAAGGATCAGTGCCATATAAAGACCTCCAAGGTCCCTTCCAATCCTATGATTCTATATATACTGTGTCAGGTGCCTATTCTTTTAAAACAAAAGAAGCTAGTAATTTCACATCAGATAATTGCTTTGGCAATAACTTTCCAGGGTTTCAGATAGAACAGTCTAGCCCGGGGTTTCCCAACCTTTTAGCCTAATGAGCAATGTTATAGACTGAGAACATGTGCAAGCTCTCTTGCCATATGGCTTCTGGGAAGAGAGAGCTTGCCCGTTCACAAATTCACAGAAGTTACAAAGCACCATTTTATCAGAATGCTCTTGGCCACCATATCTAGTCCTCTTCCAGCAAGATGTTCTTTCTTGGAAAGTATTATGATATACTGTATTGGGTAATATTGGGTAAAAATTTACTGCATTTTAGTATGTTGTTATTTATAAGCCAGTGTGAGTCAAGAAGACGTGACAACATACAAACAAATCAAAATGGACCTGGAGGCTGGTGCTTTACTTTGCAGCATGTACAGTAATGTGAAATGTCTGGGGAACAGAGAATCTGTCAGGTACTCAGGGAGTTTTCAGAAATAATGGGTGCGGTTGGCAGTGGGTGCCTTTTTGGAGAGCGGGATGTCATGTGTTGTTGTTGCAATTTAAATTTTAGAATTTTTGTATATCTAGCTCAATGCGATCATACCATTGACCTAGAGGCAAAATATAGTAAAGATGTGGGGTGGGTGAGAGAAAATGCTGGCTTATATCAATTGACAAGTTAATGCTTTTTTCTCTTATGATTTCTCCGCTGAATAGTTTCTAGTTCATTCTATGTCAACCTACAACCAGAGTTGTCATTTAATGCTTTGTCATACAGTACATGTAAAAAAGCAGAGGGGAGCATGATAATCTCATTTTTCCCCATTGGGGAGTATTCTTGATATCGTTGTTGCTAGTATTATGCATTTGGTGGCAGAGTTCCCACCAACAATGGTACCCTGGTTTGTCTTATTTTTTAAAGAAATCTGATTTATACTGCTTAAGCTCTGGTTTCTTTTGTTTCCCCCCACCTTGGTTTATTTTGCCTACAGCAGAAAAATATAACAGGGATAAGGTACTGAGGGCCCTCTAGATGTTGTGGAACCACAGCTTTCAGTAACCAGTATAAGCAGTGGTAAGGAGAAGCCTAGCTTTAGAACGGCGTTTACACAAGCTCAGAATTTTGTATTTTGAACGCAGCATACTGCAAGTGTACTTTTTTCTAAATAACGACACTGGAGAATTTCTCATGGTGCAGACCTCTGATGCTTGCACAAAATGCCTGCCGTATTAAGTACTGTAGGGATATTACCAGCAGAAAGTTTTCATCTTGGCTGATTCTGGTTCTTTTTAAGTTAAACCATCCAATTCAACCTCCTTAGTAATCTTGTCTATTAAGTTTGTCTCTCTCTCTTTTTTTTTAATAGAACGTGTATGTGAACATAAATCGCATAATGTCTGTAGCCAGTCGTTTGGTGGAGTCTGGTCACTATGCTTCACAACAAATCAAACAGATTGCCAACCAGTTGGAACAGGAATGGAAGGCATTTGCAGCAGCCTTAGATGAACGCAGCACCTTGCTGGATATGTCGGCTATTTTCCACCAGAAGGCTGAGCAGGTCAGTCATTCCACAAGGCAGAAGGATGTCTGTTGGTTTTCTAAGGTATTGTTTAATTTAATTTGACATTCCGGGACTGTGTATAGCATCCAAGTTCCTTTTTTTTTTTTTTTTAACTGCTGATCACAGTTGTCAGAAGTGGCACAGCTTCCTGCCATTTGAGACGTATGCAAACTAAAGGAGTCATGAAAGATCATTTGCCTTCACAGATCCAATGCAAGTTGCACTTTCCAAAGGTTGTGTCCAAAAATTAGATTTTCTCATGTTTGAATGAAATAACTGCCACCTGCTTAGATTATATATCATTATTAAGGGTCTTAAAAGAGCCATGAATATGATATAGCTGGGAAGCATTTCTTCCAAACTAGTGAATGATCTGTTCTGGATCTGAGCACTTTAAACAGGTCGCTGTCTTTTGCCTTGAGGACTGGTGTAATGCAGCGGCAAAAACTGTAGTGTGCTGGTTTGCAAAGTAAGAATAGTGAGGCTGAGTTTTGAACCAGAAAGTCATGAATTCAGATAGCATGTGTCTAGATTTGCCACAGGGAGTTGGTAAGTGCTCTATTATCGTATTGAGAGATTAGTGAAATGTGAAGAATTCTCCAGATGCTAAATAAGTGCTTGCATATAGAAAATTCAATTGCTAGCAACACTCCCCCCCCAAAAAAGTTGGACAAGAACCCTACCTAAAATGGTACTGTATTGAACTAGATGAGCCTGTAGAGTATCTGTAACTTCATCTGTACATTCTGTATCATCTGTGAGTGATTTACTACTCATATTTGCTTGATGCTGGCTTTGTCACTGAGGCCAGCTTATTTGAAGAAGATTCTGCTAGATTAAGATAAGGAGGCACTTTCCACTTTCCCCAAGAGTCAATCATTTAATCCACCAACTTAAAAGATGTTGCCATTTTGAGCATCTTTGTATCTCTGAAGCACAAATTAATAATACAAAAATTGTTGAAGAAAACATGCTTCCCCTTCATCCACCCTAAAACAGGAAGTTGGGTCCATTGCTCATACCTCAAAATGCCATTGAGTATGGGGTGTGTACTCAAATGAGTAAGAGGAAAGACTCGATTTGTTTTCCTGTAGCTTTTTTCCTGTGTAAATGCAATTCAAGGAGAAATAAAAATAGAACGTAGAGGCGTCCGTTTGGATTAAATGAATTAACCTCATTAATTGTTTGATTGGGTGCTTAATTATAGTACTTTCTCCACACAAAACAAGAAAACAGTCCATGAATTGTAAGTTATTGTATTAATTCAATGTATCTCTTGAGCGTGTACAGTATTAATGGTAGGGACGATAGCAACAAATGATTTGGTCTGATTTTCTGATGCCAGAGATTGCAGCTGAATGCTTTGGATGCATTTGGAATTCTTCTTTTGCATGTGAATTGAGGTTTGGCTTCAGATTGTTTTAATGTTTCCATATGTGTTTGTTTCCTCTTCCAAACCACTCCATAGTTAACAAAGAATTCTCATATTACTAAAGTGTTCGTTTTCTTTTTAACAACCCTCTCTGTTCTGCAGAGGGTAGTGAAATGAATTGGTAATTCTTTAATTCTTTTCTGAAACGCAACCATTTCTATTGACTGGAGGAGCCAGCGTGGAAATAAACTTGAAATTATGTTAGCACTGAAAAACTTCGTAGTTTGCCTGCTTTTTTAACGGAGAAAAAAACCTTACCTTTGAAAAGAGGAGCTCATTCTCTAACGAAATGTGCTTGCTCAATGAGCTTCATACTGTTTCTTAATGGGTGTGCTTGTAGTGAATAAGTAGAGTTTTTTTTCCTCCTTCTAGTACATGAGTAATGTGGATTCATGGTGTAAGGCCTGTGGTGAAGTAGAGCTTCCCTCAGAACTGCAGGATTTGGAGGATGCCATTCACCATCACCAAGGAATATATGAGCATATTACCCTGGCATACTCTGAGGTAGGTAATATTGTATTTCCTGCTTGAAAGTGGAATGTTTGCAGTATTAACAATATACAGTGGGCTCCTGCACAGTAACATAACAATGATCACACATTTAGCAAAAACAATAAAAGTAAAAAAGTTACCTGGCATTTGAAAGAATAATTTTTATTATTTTATTGTGGCACAAGATTCTGTGGACCAGAGTTCACTTCATCCTTTGCTTAAGTGTTCACGAGGGACAAAGCAAAACTTGAGGTGGGTTGGGCTGAGAGAGAGTGACTGATCCAAAATCACCCAGCCAGCATTCATGCCTAAGGCAGGACTAGAACTCACAGTCTCCTGGTTTCTAGGCCAGCACCTTGGCCATCACACCATACTGGCTCTCATACGCATATGCCAAGCGACTGAAATTAAGAATTCAGATATTTGATGAAGAGGACTCTGGTCTCAAATTGTGTTTCTTGTGTGAACATGTTAGTCTTTAAGATTCTAGAAACAATTGTGTTTGCTTCAATAAATTAACTTGGCTTCACTCTGGAATTTAAAAATACTTTTCAGAAGTACACAGAAATGCTTTTTACATTCATTTAAGTTTGCATTAATGAATATTTATCATATTTAATTGCCATGGAGTTGGATTGCGGTTCCCTGTTAAGTAGTAAAATCATACCCAACTGTGTGTGAAATGGTGCAGTGGCTGCAAAAGAGATGGCTGAACATGTGCACAGTCTTCAGTTCACTTACTGTATTAAGCCATGACTTTACTGTGGTTTGTTGACTAAGCCACCATGGCTGCATTCACAGGTACTGCTTCAGAAATTGCATATGGCTTCGTTCAGACATACTTCTCCTGCTTCTGCCTTTGGAGAGCAGCCTTCTTCCCCAAATTCTTCTTTAAGAAACATCTCCTACAGGAAGAGCATCCTAGTTATTAAAAAATTAGTTTGTGCTTTGGATACTGGTAATTGGCAACATACATTTATAGGCTATAACTGTGTTTCTACCAAATCTGTCCAAAGAAGTTTGGATCAATATCCATCTTGACTCTCTGGCTTCATTGTGGGTGATGTCCAAAAGGATAAGAAGCGTTTTTCATGCTCTCACCTCCGCTTTTAAATAACAAGAAATCATATTTGTTCAATCTTGCTCACCATAACTAAAATCAGTTCCCTCCCTTGCACTAAATTATACGGCTACTGTTTCTTTTTTAAACTCGGTGGCTGAAATTCATGCAGCATTTTAAATGACATCTGTCAGATATTTTACAACGTTTACATTAGCAATCAGGCTTATTGCCCCGATTATCACTAAGCAACAGAAACATCGTGCTGGGGATTTTGTGGTTAAATAAAATTCCTTCAGTTTTTTACTTACTGTTGTCAGGCCTTATATTTCAGAATGTCTCTCTGTAATAAGATCAAGGACACTTTTCTTTATCACAGAGATGGTGGGATTCTGCATTAAGATAAATTTGACATCTCACATTACTCTCGCTGTGCCATGAAGGCAGCTCCTCATTTCCTCCTCTGAAAAGTAGGAAAAAAATGAGCATGCGAACCCGCACTGTAGAGTTTGTCTGAGTTAGTAGACAACATCTATAGCTAAAATATAAAAGCCACAGCTCTAACTTTGAGCTGTGTTGTTAGCAGTAAATCAGCATTTCCCATCAGGATGTGTTGATACGACTGCATAATCTTTTTGCTGCAAGACTAAGTAGCCAAGCCTTATCCTTACGATCTTATGCAAAAGCAGCAGCCTTTCTTATGATAGGAATCAAGTGTCAGAGTTTCAAAGCCCAGTCTTTAGGATAACCCAAAGACCTAGGGCAATATGCAAATCAAACACTTTTTTAACAGAAGAGAGGAGGAAAATTATTACTGTAACAATATTCGGATCCTTCCAGGGTTTTAAAAGAAATAATGTGTTGGAAAGAGGTTCAGGCTGCAAATCTTCCCCTTACTGGTTCTTTTTCAATGTTTGTACATAGGATTGCACAAAACATTTAATTCTGAAACATTTAAATCATGACATTTCATGAGGCGTGCTTTTGGATTTGTTGTTTTGTTTTGTTTTTAAATGCAAAACAGTCTGCTCTAAGCATTTTGGAGGCATTTTGAGTTTGGAAACAGAATGTTTCAAATTTGGAACACCCCTATTTCAAGCTTGAGATGCTTCCAAAAATGCTCCAAAGTGCAGTTTTGCCTTTGAAGCAGGGCATTTTGCAGCCTTCACACTCAGAATCTTTCAGAATGAATCAGTTTGCATATCCCTATTTATGCAGTTCAAGCTTTTTACATGGTCTTTATATTCTGAAGTCGTTTAACCCAACTATTGACTATGTATTTTCTGCCCATTATAAAACTTATTTGGCTGCTCCTAAAAATAATGTTTTATAATAGTTTTTTTTTAAAGCTTCATTGAGACATTCAGTTTTCAGTCAAAATAACCTTTAGAAGGGAAGAAGGTGATCCGAATACTGAGCAATTTACTTTTCTTAGTAGGAAGTGAGAAAGAAATTAAAGCTCTGTTTCTACATATATAAAACAGAACTATAAAGATTAAAGAAACAATGTTGTTCCCTTCAGTAAACCTGAATAAATTGTAGCCAGAAGATGTGTTCAGTCAAGCCTCAGACTGATTACAAAGTGAAAAATTACTTGTGCCACCACAGTCATATTTAAAATTTGACTGAAGACAGATGGGGAGAGTAACTGAATTTATAGCAACGTTGCATGGTCCCCTACAGGCATACCCAAGCACTCTGCTGAGGAAGACTTGATGTTTAAGCAGTTTATTTTCAGTTCAGCCAGGCTAGATGCTGATGAGAGTTTTCAGTCAAATCAGGGTAGGAAACTTTGATGGTTAGCAGTCACCACCAAGTATGACTCATCTTAAACTTAATTCTTTCTTAAGCCTCCACATGCCCAGAAACTACTTCTCCATGACTGTATCAGATTTTGATTCTGTCAGAAGGTACTCAGATGAAGAATTCCATGTATCCCTTTTCTTATCTCTCTCTTTTCTGCACTACTTGCTTGCAGAAGCTCTTGAAGCGTAAGGATTCTTTCTGCATTATAGAGCTACGGGGATGCCAATATGTAAAGAACAATAATCCACTCAGAACCAGTAGCAGCTTCAGTCAACCAGAGGCTTTTGTCTATCCGGAAGCTTTTGAGAAACCTTATATTTTAATATTGATACCATGACAGCTTGAGAATCTGGATATTGTGCTTGCATTTAATCTGATGCATAATTACTGACTAAATAACTATTATCAAATGATGGCAATTTTTCACTGTACATGCTGCATCTGAAACCATCATTTGTTTCTCAGACTCACACATAGAGATGTGTAAATGTAACTAAACATAGCATCATCTCCCTATTTCCTAAGCGAATATTATGGACTGGTTCAGCCAGTGCAGTCTGTGAAGAGAAATATGTAAATCCATTTTGAAGTTAAATAGTAAAATTAAAGCAAAACTACTTGCATTTTAAAAGGCTTGGGGTTTTAATGGTTACTGCTGTTACAGACCAAGATTTGGGTCTATAAGAGTTTAGCACCACACACGTGACCAGGATATCTAAGGCCTCCCATTCTCATTTAGTTTCTTTGCCTCCTCTACCCCTTTCCAGCCTCTCCAACAAAGTCTTGCAATTTAGAAGATTTCTAGAAGTAGGACTTCTTGGGCAGGAGGAATGGCTGAAATAAAGTCTTGAATCCCTTCTTATTTGTGCAATGCTTGTTTGATTTTGTCCAAAATAAATTCTAACATGCTTTTCCATTCTTGAGTAAACATATATCAAATTAGGAAAAGCAATGTTGTAATCCCATGTTGTAGAACTGTGTAGCCAATATGTAAGCACCTTCATTCTTATTTTGCTTAACAGGTAAGTCAGGATGGGAAATCACTGCTTGACAAACTGCAACGACCTTTGACACCTGGAAGCTCAGATTCCCTAACAGCTTCAGCCAACTACTCCAAGGCAGTACACCATGTCCTAGATGTTATTCATGAAGTGTTGCATCACCAGAGGCAATTGGAGAACATTTGGCAACATCGAAAAGTCCGCTTACATCAACGACTTCAGCTCTGTGTCTTTCAACAGGATGTACAACAGGTCAGTTCATATCTCCTGATATTGGGGATTCTGTATAGAAATGCTTGCAAAGCCTTTTTTAAAAATCTACCCACACCGTCTTGCTATAAGGAGAAATTTTTAAAAAGCAAAATTCTCAGCCAGTGCATTTTCATACTGACCTTGTTTTGTTCCAGTTACAAACTTAGGCAAAGGTAAAATGCTGAATTTGAAGAAGGAAGGGAGGTACTGTAGTACTGGCTACACCAGTAGATCGCCGCTGGTCAACTGGCAGGTCCAGGGCCCAGTACAAGCTAAAATCCTGTCTGATCATGATTGCTGAAAATTGAAATCAGAGTTTCCTATAAAGTCTGAATGAGAAACACCTCAGAAACTCTCTCCTTGAAATGTCACTCCTCTTCTCATTGGTAGTGTGATCTCACCCATTTTGAGACCTTCAGTGCATCTACAAATATTAGGTGAAGCTCTTGCTACCCAAATGTAAATCAAATACATGCTTTTGCCTGTATGTTCTTGATGTACTGCAGAGAATGGTGGCTAGAGACTTCCAAATAGAGAAAACTACCAAATAGTTGAAGAATGCCACTATCTGAGGGATCAGTTGATTTCCAAAGCCTAGTTGGACGTCCCAAGTTTAAACAAAAAAGGAATAAACCCAAAAAACAACAGGGGGGAAGAGCACAATTTTCAAAATAAAGTAATAGAAATAGTAAGGTGTCAGCATGGGTAGGACCTATTTGTCTGGTAAATAAAAGACAAAAGCAGTAGAAATCATATAATAGCATGTTAGTTCCCATTGCCATCAGGTTCAACTATACTAACTAGGAGCTAATGAGGAACTAGTCCTCCAATTAATGAAGACCTGAAATGGTTCGTTTTGGGAGCCACTTGGGAAAAAGGTCCATCCAGAACTTAAATTACAGAGCATTCTTTCCTCTTCCAAAGCTTGCACGAGCTTGAAAGAATTCTAGATAACATTGCCAGATGTCATTCCATTTATATCAAATGGCTCTATGATTTGATATCTAGATCTTGGCAACTATAAGTGAGTTTATCCACAAAGAAATCTGCAGATACAGAAAACTTCTATGCAGCCTGCTGTTATCTCACTCTTCACACCTCTCCATAAGAGGTGTCACTTTAAACAAGCAGCTGGACAGGAGTCTGTAGACACAGTAAGAGTGGAGAACAAACACTTTGCTGCTCCAATTATCAGTGTGTAAGCCCAAACCTGAGTTTGTACCACTGCTCGGTCATGTTCACTTTTTATCTTATGCCATCATCACTCTAGGAGTCTTTTTATTCACTTCAGCTCCCAAAGGTCCTTGGCAAACCAGTGAGCTGCCTGAGATTGGCAAATGGAAAGGGGCCTCATAGGAATAATCTTATCCAGAGCTGTAATCATCTCCCACTGCTAGGGATCAACCACATCCAAAAGTTAACTATCTGCCAAGTCATCCAAAAATCCCCATATGGCCTCAGAAAAGAAGCAAAAACCATCAGGTGTCTGGGGCAAACCATCTTAATAGCCCTTTGCCCTTATGGAAGGGTGAGGAACTAGCAATCCACAACCTGACCAGAAAGTGATTTAAGCACAGTAAAAGACAGATATCAACACCCCCTATATCCAGATCACAACTCATCTGCTCTGAAGTATATATATCAACTCCAGCACGTGCCCAACTTTGCGAGTTAGAACCAAAATTATATGCAATAGGTCTGTGGTCACCATTTGAGGCCACGAATTACCAAGTTAGTCCAGCTCCCATTTCCAGGACATGGAGACTGAAGTCCTCAAGCTCTGAAATCTTCAGTGGCTCCAACAGCGACCTGGAAATGAGTCTGAGGAGCTCCTGGAGGACTAATTTTGGGCAGCAGGGTGGTTAATACACCAGCAGCAGTTCTAGCACATCCCTCTGATCCAACTTCACATATAGGCACTCCAGTAACCTCTGGGACGGTGCTATGGTCACTGCCAAGATCTCACAAATTATTGTAGCATCCATTCCTTAGTTGCGAGAGGACCTGAAACCCAGAAGGAAAGATCTCCAGTGGGACCATAGCCCATAACTGCCCAAGCAGCTCTCAATAATGTGACCAGTATATTATGCCCTTAAATTAATCATAACCTTTTTAAAGTAAGTGAATGTTCCTGATGTCTTAAGAAAATGTGAAGGTAAGACCGCCATGCTTATCAGGCAACTCCAGAAGCCTTCTGTTGGTACCTACTTCCTAAATTTAATCTGTGATTATGTCTAATTTCTGTCTAGGGACAGGTTTTACTTTTGTAAAGTGCAACTTCTACATATTATTTTATCTGCATAGATAAATAGCATCTGTTTGGGCAAAAGTGTCACTGCTGTAAAGTCTTGCCATTGTCTGCTTTCATTTCAATCCTGTGCGTATACTTGGAGAAGGAAGTCATTCTGAGTTCTAACACTTCCCAGTGTTCAACTGAAGAAAGATGTATTGAAGAGAATCTGAAGTGGGGGTGCTTAATCCTTGTGGTCTGAGAATATAAGAGCTAACCATGTCTCATTTGCCAAATGTATTTCAAAATTACTAAACCTACATATTCTAAATTATTCTTGCTCCCCAAAGTCATCTTAAAAAAAGGCTTTGCAGATAAAATTCAGGCTTTGCCTTGGTTTTCATAAATGATAAAATAATCAACCTGAAATGGCCAAATCAGACAGCTGTCTCATAAAAGAAAAAAGAAAAAATATCCAGTCTTTTGGTGGACTGACTCTCTGTCCCTCTGTCTGTCTGTCTGTCCAGCCAGCCAGCCAGCCAGCCAGCCAGCCAGCCTTTCTTTTTTGTCAACTCAAGGCAGTGTACTTGCCTAATCTCCCACCTCCTGTTTTTCCTACAACAACAGCACTGTGTGGCCCAAAGTCAGCCAGCTGGCTTTCATGCCTAAAGGAGGACTAGAACTCACAATCTGGTTTCTAACCCAGGAGAAGCCACTACCCCAAGCTGGCTGGTGAACAGTTTGTGGTTCACGTGAATATTATGACATGATAGATTCTCTGTACATTTTTTTAAAAAGTCTGTGCCCTCTCTCTCATGCTAGCCTTTAAGTATGATATACAGAGTGAAGAAACTTCATTTGAAATCTTGGGCAAAAGTTTTTTTCCCCCCTCCTCTGAGTGTGGAAGTGCAGATAAGAGCAGTGGGATCAAAGAGTAGCTTATCCTCTCTTTTATAATGCAGCTGTTGGACTGTCAGTAGGGAGACTCAGGTTCAGGTTCTTCCTCAAGCCATGGGAATTCACTGGGTGACTTTGGGCCATTCATTTTCTTTCATGCCAGTTTATCTCATCAATATCTCTCCCTGCTGTTATGGGGGGGAAAGGAAGGGAGATCCAGTGTAAGATGCCTTGAGCTTGTAGAGAAAAGGTAGGATACAGCTGTAACAAATAAAATAAAAATACGGTTGATGTTGTGGCTCTGAAAACTTCCTTACCTTGAGAGTGGAGTTGGAATGAAAATCAAAGTGGATGAGCAGTTCTAAATAATGGCCTTAGTGCATGCTTAGAAACTCAAATTATAGTTTGGATTCTAAATTACAATCAGCCATAATAGTGTAATGTCTGAATTAGATTTATTGTTTTAACAAGGTTTTGGGATGTTGCTTTAGATTAATAGACTCTGTAATTACAAAATGTAAGCATGATGAAAGAAAATGAGTTCATTTTGTTGATCTGTTGGCTAAGTACTTCCTTGGAATATGACTAAGACTAGAGGCATAAAGATTCTTTACAAAATTGATGACATTGTGATAAAGGCATGGTTCCTTTCTTCTTTGCTGTCATGTTTACACAGGATATCAAACAGTGGTTCTGAGAACTTGGAGAGCTATTGACAGCCAAATAGTCAAGATTAAATTAAGGGGACTAGTAGTCAGATTCAACATAAGACATGCATTTCTTGTAATATTTTTTTTTATTTTGCAGTATTTTGGGGGGGTACTTGGTTGGGGCAGACTGCTGTATAATGAATTTTAGTTAGAAGAGAGAGTATAATATCTCAGGCTAATTTAAGCAGATGCTTGATAAATAAGGGTTCCCTATGCACACTCCAGGGCAAAGGTTGGCTTGTACAAGACATACCATTCCCAAAAACATTCCTTGTACAGGCCTGAATTAAGTTTCATATTTAAGGAAAAGTTCTTTAATGGTGCAAATGCTTGCTGGTCTGATACATCTGTAGAGAATTTGTGGAATAGGGAACATCTTGTTTTAATTACTGCCTTAATTGCAATAGTATAGGGATGTATATGTTGGCTTCAGTTCCCAGAATGTTTAGTTACTGAATAGGTTCTGATTAGTAAAATTGTTGGGACTTAAAGTGAATGGAAAGAAATTCTTGCCAGATGGTTCAGTTAAAACCTTGCATTTTATGGTTAAGCATGAAGGGGCAGCTCCTTGGGTCAGGATAAAATTGCATTTCAGTTCAGTGGTTTTCAAATATCATTCTTCAGGGAATCTTCTATATGAATTTGTCTGCCAAGGAGTTTTGCAGATAGAACATGGAATCTGTGGTTTGTAGAAGATACTGGTGATATTCCTGCATGCTTTCAGTTGGGGTAGTGGCCTGGGAAATTAATCTCTTAAAGCAATGTAGAACTTAGAGGCAACTCTGTGCATCAATATTTGAGATGGTTTTTGTTTTTTGTTTTTCAGGATAATTGTCATGTCTTATTTAAGTAGATTTCCAAAATTTTCTGCCTGGTCACTGTCTGTGAGAATGATTGCTGGAGTACATGGACTTTTGCTGATTTCAAAAGGGTGGTTTTTCTATTAGCAGGCCACATATCCCCATAGGAGATGATTTGATTGCTTAGTTTACAAACTCAGCAATAAATTGAGGAACTTGCTTTTTATCATTGCAAACTTTGGTGAGAGAAATTGCCATCAGTGTGAGTGTTTGAACAACTGGACTTGTAACAATACCGTCCATACAGGAGAAAAATACTGTCCAGGTAGTGGATATTTTTATGTGTATATGAATCCTAAGCTAGGATTCATATGGAGTGAGAATGTTAATAATTGCTGGGCTTTCACTGATAATTTGAATTTGTCTGCCTCTGGAATCTATATTCCATGATTCATTATAGGGAAGACTAAATATTTGGAAAATAATGAATGATGGCTTCAGTTGATTTATCCTATTATGTTCCACAATAGCAGAAACCATTGGAAGTACCTTATAAGTATACAGTTGGGTCTCCTTCATGATTATCTTTCTTGCAGGTGCTGGACTGGATTGAAAACCATGGAGAAGCTTTCCTTAGCAAACATACAGGAGTTGGGAAATCCTTGCATCGAGCCAGAGCACTCCAGAAGCGCCACGAAGACTTTGAAGAAGTGGCGCAGGTAGGGCTCATCATTGATACCATTCTTGGCATTCATTTGTGAAAGGTCATGGCTTCAAAGATGATAATGTTGAGAGAAAACAGTAGACAAGGAGATACAACTAGTTGCAAACACTGCAGTTTGAAAGCATGAGTGCCTTTCAAGATTTGCAGTAGCTTGGGAAAGATGCTGCCCTGGTGAATTTTAATCCTTCTTTTTCTTTCCTTGTCCAGTTATTTCTTTTCCACTCCTCCTCTCCATCCAGTTTTCTTTCCCCTAATCTCTTTCCTTCCTTTTAGTGAAGCTACTCCTTTCCCTCACACCATTTCCATCTTGTCTCATCCTCCTCCCTCTTTCCTATTTCTGATGGAACATGTGGGCGGTTGTGTGTGTGTGAGTAAAAATGTTAAATATATTTAGATAGAATCAATTACATTTACAAATGGGGTAATTTATTTTACAGGTGGTTAATTTTAATTAGCAGGTATTAATTCAGTAACAAATGCATTTTTTAAATCCTGACACACATGTAAGTTTGTTACTCATTTATTGGGACAAGGAGAATCTCTAGTAGTGGTTCCAGCTGGAATTGGCAATATTGACAAAGTTGGAGAAACTGGTTATTGCAGAGGATTTTGTCCATGTGTGTAACTTTCTTCTGTTTAATCTTTCTTTTGAGGGGCCGGAGGCATATTAGATTTAAGGTTTCTGCCCATTGGATAAATACAGTAAATAGCCATATATGCAATAAATAGAGAGATGGTGTATCCAGAAACCAAAATGACTAAAACAATATATAAAATCTCTTCTAAATAATCCTTTAAAACTTGCACTGAAGGAATCCATTTAATTATTTATACATTTCTTTCTGCCAAAAGCATTTATACAATGCATTTGTTTGTTTGTTTGTTTGTTGAACTTGTATATACATTTCTTTCTGCCAAAAGCATTTATACAATGCATTTGTTTGTTTGTTTGTTTGTTGAACTTGTATATACATTTCTTTCTGCCAAAAGCATTTATACAATGCATTTGTTTGTTTGTTTGTTTGTTGAACTTGTATATACATTTCTTTCTGCCAAAAGCATTTATACAATGCATTTGTTTGTTTGTTTGTTTGTTGAACTTGTACCCTGCCACAGTCAATCTACTCTCAGCAGCTTACAAGGTATATAGTACAATAACAGTTAAAACATTCACCATAAAAAAACCAACATAAAGACTAAGAAAAATAAAAGTAAATAAAAATAACAGAAATGGTGCCATGCAGTCAGTCAAGAATATGTCCTCCAGAATAATTCAGTTTTCAATAACTTCCTTAAAACCAGCAAGAAGGGCTAAGTCTGATCTGGGGCAGGGGGCATTCCAGATCAGGAGCACCACCAAAGAAAAGCAGGTTCACCTAGCCTTGGCTCCCTGTGAGGGGGCCTTCTTGGAAAATGGTACAGACCAACAATAAGGAAAGTATTGTTATCTCCTCTGTGGTTCCTGGATGTCTTTTATTACACAAAACCTTTAACAAACTTATCAGTAAAACTGTACTATATACTATACCTATACGAATGTCTATGTGCCTGTGCCTATGTGTGTATCACCGTCATTGCCTGAACTATAATAAAATATGTAGCCACCTTGAAATAAGTCGGCTTCTATTGCTATCAGCTGCTGTTCTGAACACTCCCTATACCTCCTGGAAGGGTGTGCATGATTAGAAATGAGCTACTAGGCAGCTTGCTAACTCTAGAACATAGATTGCTCATATGACTATTAATCTTACGAATGAATCATACGAATTAAAAATGTTTCAGAACCGCTACAAAGAAGTAGGAGCGTGGTAGCTTATAGGGGTCCTTCACATCTTATGCTCTCCCCATGCAGTGGTTTCAGTTGCATTTGAAGATGTCAGAGAGGCTTGACAAAGTGTGATGTGTAGCAGTGCATCATACTCAAGGTACCCTGCGTTCTTATGATTGGTTTAGCCTGTAAGGCAGTGTTGTCCAAACTTGGCCATTTTAAGATGAGTGGACTTCAACTCCCAGAATTCCCCAGCCAGCATGGCT